AGTGATTTAGGGTTTGTGTTAGGATTTAAAAAGAGAAACTTAAAACAAATCATGGTCCTTGATTCAAATGAAAAATAAGGGAGAAAAACCACCTTCTATCACCACATCCCATTTGATCCTGAGATTGGCTCGCATCTAGTTACAAGACTGAGACCCGTATATATCGTCTGTCGGCAGTAGGCTTGCTAAAACACGAGACCAGCATTGATAATTTCAGCGATAACTGAAAATGACAACTTCTCAAAGCCCTCCTCCACCAATTCATAAGATATGTTGCAGGGCACAAGTTGAGATTTGTTGCTCACTCCTATTGAACAGACGTGCTGGCAAAATTTCTCCTGTCTGAAGTTAAAAAAAGCAGCATCCAGAAAACAGCAGGTCAATGTCCAAACTGTGAGCATCAGAAACTGTACACAAAATGTAAACATGAAAACTGGAATTCAACGCTTCATTAAGCATGTTAACAAGTCCAGTGGCTGTTTTCTCTACCCGAAAGGAAATTCTGCACTGTGCACAGTGCACAGACTCAGTAATGAGTACATTTCTCTTGTGGAAGTGATGAAACAGGATACTTAAGATCAATTACAATGAATTACATCACAGTGAAACTGATGTGTTAATTAATTCATTTGCATCACATATGACTTGTTGTTCAAAGCATGGAAGCCCAATAAAAAAAATATTGTAAAAAAAGGAAATATAGTGCAGAGCTGTTTTTCATTTCATCCAAATAATGTATTAATATCACATGCCCAGTTCTAAGTTTTACAATCCTGACCATTAACCATGAACCATGAAACCCTCAATATTAGACACCATTTCACCCAACAACAATCCAACAAAACTATAATTGTAACAGAAATTCAGAATACATATAGAAGACTATACTTATTCATTCAGTAGTGCATCCTATATTTGGGCTGAAGGGTTAAGTTTAATACAGTTTAATACAGTATTAAACATATTTCAGAGTAATTCCATCAATTTGAGATATGTAAAACTCAACTAGGTAGCACTACTTCAAACATATACAGTTTATCCATATTTCCGCTTGACAGTGCTAAAACTCAAAGGCTTTTGCAGTCTACATTACTTAAAAATTAAAACGCAACGATCTGCCCAGTTCAAGCCATCGCGAACCCTCGAGTCCATAAAGAATGAACTGCGAGAACTCATTCTGCCATCTCCTGCCCGGAATCAACAACAAAGACTTTAGCTACGGTTCTCTGAACTCATGACCTCCCTAAGCTATGAGACCAGGAGCGGATTTTCTGCTAGCCACCTAACCTCTGTCCCATTCTCTGTGACCTGACTCATTGTCAAGAGGTAGCCCCCAATCCAGCTACTCAGTTCATCAGAAAACAGTGTCCAGTGACAGTTTCAGGGATGTGTACATTCCTGGTCATCATTCCTCCATTTACCAGCAACAGTAACTAAGTCCCTAAAATTGGTCATCTACTTGCTCTAAAACAGAAGTCTTTGGTGATTTTTTATACATGTTAAAAATATGGATTTTAATATATATGGAATTACTGGATTTCTCTGTCGGAGGTCCGAGTGGATGCACTGAGAGAAATCTCTCAGTACCACTGCTTTACTGGTTAAGGGGGAAAGGACTTGAGCAAAGTGAATCACTTGCAGTTGATCAAGTTACTGTCTACCATAAGTATCTCCTACCACAAAGTCCTTTAAGTGCCTTTGGGTTCTAAACATAAACACTGCTTTTCCCAAGTAATGTCTGCGGGGGAAAAAAAAAAACAGACTACATGTACTGCAAAAAAGCAGGATAAAGGATATCACTGGTGATCTGCACTGGTCAAAAATCTGAACTCATGTTGGCGTCATTACACCTTTCACACATACTGTATTTAAAGACTGAAGAAGGCAGCACAGTGGCGCCATGATGGTTGGCACTGCTGCCACACAGTGCTGGGGCACTGGGATCAGTCTTTCAATTCTGTTTCTATGTTCTCCTCGTGATCACATGGGTTACAGCCAGCAGCCATATCAACTGAAGCTCAGCAGGTGTGAGCCTAGCCAGTACCTGGATGGGAGACCTCCTGGGAAAAACTAAGGTTGTTGCTGGAAGAGGTGTTAGTGCGGACAACAGGGGGCACTCTCCCTGCAGTCTGTGTGGGTCCTAATGCCCCAGTATAGTGACGGGGACACTATACTGTAAAAAAGCGCTGTCCTTCGGATGGGACATAAAAACCGAGGTCCTGACTCTCTGTGGTCATTAAAAATCCCAGGGCTTCTAATAATCCTCCATCTATGAATTGGCTTTATCACTCTGTTCTCCTCCCCACTGATAACTGATGTATGGGGAGCGTTCTGGCCCAGCATTGGAGGTGGTGGACGGGAGTCCCCATTACCTGTAAAGCGCTTTGAGTGGAGTGTCCAGATAGCACTATAGAAGTGTAAGGAGTTATTATTATTATTAAATCATGTGCAGGTGTCCCTGTTCTCTCCCACAGTACAAAAACATAATGGTAGGTTCTTGGTTTGGCTTCTGGGAAAACTGGCCCAGGTGCGTGCGTGCGTGTGTTCCATTGTAAATTCCATTGTGCACATACTGGTACAATGGAATTCTTACTTACAGAAAGTCTCTCGATTGTTAAAATAAGTGTAAAAAGTTTCAAGTTTTATCCAAGTATCAAACTCACTAAAGTGTCTTAATTTGTAATGACTATTAAGAATGATGGAGCATTTGTTTTTCACCTGGAGGTTGTGTTTCATTGTATAAAGGTAAAATAAATTCTGATTTATTGTCTTGATTTCAGTCTGATTTCAGGCTACAAAGTGTTACCTTGTAAAGGGTGTGTAAACCTTCTATAGGCACTGTATATCTGCAATTTGAGGTTTCTAATAAGCAGAAGTGCGGTTATTCAATTTTCTATTTAAAAGAAAAGCTTCCAGCAGCAGCTTAGAAGAGGCCCTAAAAGCCAAATCACAATTCAGCCTGCTGAGTGAGGTTTACTCAGTTAAAACTGAGGATACCAAGCTGTGACAAAAAGCTTCTTACAAATAACCAGCCCATAAAAAAAGAGAAACCCTGAAAATTAAGTGACAGGTTTATTAGAATTGCTCTCATTTGAGTTCTGCGGTTAAACCTCCAGAGGGATGTTACTGACTACACTCTGGCTAGAGTGCAGCTCACTTCATTGAGTCTCAAGCCCGCGGCTCTCTTTGTCATCGATGACTCACACATCCCCTCCCTCACTTTGAGAGAAAGACACCACTGCCCAGGCTTTCAAATCTTCCCATATTCTCTTACCACAAAAATAAACACAGCTTCTTGATTTGCTTTAACATGACACTTTACAGGTTAGATCCAATTAAAATGAATAAACTAATACACCAGAATGAGTCCTGGTCTAATGTGTATCTTCATCTAGAGCATAGTTTTCCATCTATAATATTTTTCTTATTTATTTTTTTATCCCAGTGTTATTTTTATTTCCGGTGACATCACCATCTGCCACCCGCCGACTAGCGTATTTTTTCTAATGCTACCCCCATATTCATTTAAGTTTGAGATCCCTGATCTAAAATGATCAATTCAACCACTATCAGTACAGGGTATGACCAATAACACTAACCAGTAGAGATTCAAAGTTACCAGAAAATGGCAAACAGCTGGCAAGGGTATTTTGAAAAAGCTTATGTATTTAATAACCGTAATAGCCATCAATTCACAACATAATGCCCAACAAAGTATCTAATAATTATATTAAGTATATATAATATATAGTTCTTTTCTGGACACTCCACTCAAAACGCTTTACAGGTAATGGGGAATCCCACTACCACCACCAATGTGTAGGCTCCACCTGGATGATTCAACGGCAGCCATAGTGCGCCAGAACGCTCACCACACATCAGTTATCATTGGGGAGCAGAACAGAGTGATGAAGCTAATTCATAGATGGGGATTATTAGGAGGCCATGATTGGTAAAGGCCAGAGGGAAATTTGGCCAGGACACTGGGTTGACACCCCTGCTCTTTTCAAGAAACACCTTGGGATTTTTAGTAACCTTGGGAGAGTCAAGACCTCGGTTTTTCGTCTCAGAAGGACGGCACATTTTTTTTTTTAGATAGTGTCGACATCACTGTGGCATCAGGACCCACACAGATTTTGATTAAGTGTGCAGTGTGTTTTGGGTCAAAACTACGGTTGCGCTTCTGAGAATTTTATTTAAAAAACGTTTCACAAAATCAACCCTCACAAGCCTCTTTGCAAACTGCAATTTGTAGCAACAGATACATACTGTAGCAACATCATAAAATACTTGGCCATTTGTAACTGTTTAATCATTGAAACATTTGCCTACAATTTCAACACGTTTTATCTTTATCATTTGTTTAAGCCTTTCATGTAACTGCCATACCTACACAAATCTTTCCGTCATAGTTTAGGACACTATCTGACGTGAAGACATTCTTCCATGTCGGCTATCAAACTATATAACATATAATAAAAGTTATCACATAGTGGTCATTGAAAAAAAATAAAATCACACCACCCAAGTCCAGTACTCAAATATAACAAATTGTGAAGGTTAAGCCATTAACCAGCTTGACACTTTGCCTTTTAATCCTTTTCACCACGTAAAGTTCACTTACCTTATGGTCAAACCAACATAGCGGCGGAGCGGTGGCTCTGTGGCTCAGGATCTGCGCCTGTGGCTGGAAGGTTGCCGGTTCAAATCCCATGGCTGGCAGAGGAATCCTACTCCGTTGGGCCCCTGAGCAAGGTCCTTAACCCAACTGCTCCAGGGGCGCTGTGCAATAGCTGACCCTGCACTCTGACCACAGGCTTCTCTCCCTGTCTGTGTGTCTATATGTCTCATGGAGAGCAAGCTGGGGTACGCGAAAAGACAAATTCCCGATGCAAGAAATTGTATAGGGCTAATAAAGTGATGTTATGTTATGTTACATGCAGTCATCACTTCTTCAGATCCATACTGCACCAGAAAACAAAACTTTTACCAAAGGATACAGGGATTGTTGCCATCTATATTGCAGTTGTCCAGGAGAAGAGCAAATCCATCCAATTCGCGTACCTTTGGAATAGGGGGAGAAGTGGAAATGTTAGCTCGTAGGGTCCAATCTAAATACACGTACAAGTAGGTGTATTTTCAGTTTTCGCCATAAGTTTGGTACTTTATTTTGGTAACCTAATGAAAAAAGGACAAATTAAAAGGATCACTGAGCTGGGGCTGCATTATTAAGAGAGCCCTGCACCTGTCAACTTATACGCACAAGAATATTTGCTGACCCAGATACATTTCATTGTTCATGTTTTGGACTAATTGTGTGGTGTTAATGCCATTTAAGGTAAGTCTGCCACATTTTGGGTTATGAAGAACTATGCAAACATACATTTTCAATAAAAAACTACAAAAAAAAAACACATATTGTAGAGGACCAGCGGTCATTTGGAAGTAGTAAAAGTAGTGGGATTGCAAGGGGGGCTCCCTCTCAGCTGGGGAGTGTCTAGAGAGCCAATTAAAGGGTTACTTAAGGATTAATAGATTAATCAGTTCGTTAGAGCAATCGGGGCAAGCGTGTGAACTTAAGAGAGGTCCTGCGTCTCGTCCGAAGGAAAGTGCCTTTTTACAGTGCCCTGTCACTATCCACCGAAGGGGAAAACACAGTTACAGCAACTAAAACACTGGGGAAGGGGTGGTTACACATTCCACAAGGTCCTCTGCCCTCAGTATCAGTATTTCATTTGCTTATGGTAGAAATATGACTTGTTAGTGGACCTGTCAATCTCTAGGTTTCACCAAAGATGTCCAGTTCTGGAGTGAGAGATATGGGTATGGGTGAGAGACTTAGGGTTCCAGCCTCCCCAGAGCAAGGGCACCATTGAAAGGACCCAGTCGCTGGTCAGCATATCTGCCACAAACTGAACTCAGGAAGCAGAGAATACCTGAGTCAGTGGCTGGGCGTTGCAAAAAAAAAAACCCAGGCCAGTGAGGGAGGACTACTCTGTCATATTATTTACTTCTTTCTGTTTCAAATGTATTTAACAAATATCAATTGCTGCTTCAAAGTAACATAACGGCATGTTTTCGAGCAACTACATGAGAAAAATTCAAGGGTCTGAATACTTTTGCGAGTTTTAACACGCAACCCACTGGTGGAATTTCTTGGAAAGAAGAGCTTTGCTTTGATAAACCGTAAAGCTGAGCAAAATACTCCCTACAATTCATAATCACAACACAACTAAATCCCATGTTTCAGTTCTTAAAGGTATTTAAAAGACCACTAATAGAAAAAAGCAAATTTTGAGCCCTATACAAAATAGATCAATTAAAGCTGTTAGTACTGTAACACATATTTCCATATTAACAAGTGTTCAAGGAATAGTTTCATAATTTAAAATTCTGCTGTGTTATATCCCAAAATGATTCTCTACCTTTTCCTGCTTAGATTGCCATTTTTCTTGGAAGTCACCTACTTTGACATAAAGGTTTTGTGAAACCTTATAGACAGGAAGTGCATGGAGGAAGCTAACAAGTGTTGCTTTTCTTGCCAGTTGGTGAAACTCTGATGGACTGCATTCCTCCTGGCATTTCCTCTCTGATCTCAGAAGATTATCTGCTGAGGCCCTCCAGGCCAGAACGGTTTGTCAGCTGAAACAATAACTGCCAATCATATACATCAGGATATACAACAAGTAGGAGAACGAATACCAGACAGGCACAGATTGCGTTGCCTAGTCATTCAAACAAAATGTCGGAATCGGTTGTACTTAACCTAAAGATGCATTTCTGATCCAGGCTGATGAGGGTTGCTTAAAACTGAAATTCAATCATTTAAAAGCTTTCTCCCTTACATGAAGACTGGCTGTGTGCCTCACAGTGCCTCAATGTAAGAGGATATGATTGCGGAACTGAAAACACTATTCCATAAAAATGCTACTGCTACCACCACTAATATTGCTACCACTTCTATTATTACTAATACTAGGACAATTAAAGACAGCAAAGAAGTCCTTTCAATTCAAAAATGGGTTTTCTCTGAAGACCCTTATGATTCTAACAGTTCTATGAAACTTTTCTAACTGATTTTTCATTAAGCAGATACCTTTGCTGTTGAGTGACTGTTACATGTTTGGTACACAGTCCTACTCCTCTTCAGATTTTATGCTGTTTGGGTGTTTTCCACAGGCAGAAATCTGCTCTTCCACTTCTTACCCACAAATATCATATCAAGTCCAGCGCCACAGGCTTTAAGGGAGTCGGTGGAGAGGTAAAATGGCGTGCTAACTGCTATGTGTTTGAAATTATTTTATTGCACATTGAAAGGATAATTCAGTGTCCTCCTCAGTTATGATGAGGGGAGAATCAAACTGTAATTTTGAAGACGGCATGAAAACAATATGTCGTTCCTTCAATTTGACTTTGAAGAAAGTCATTGCTAAATTTGATATGAAAGAAGCTCCAATATAAGAAAGTGCAGTAACAAAAGATAATTGGGAGGGAGATACTGACTTCTGCTCAAATGTGTACAAGTATACAGAAATATAATTTTGAAAACTTTTAGGGCATGTACTACCACAATTTCTCAGTAATTTAGTTTAAATGTTTCAGAACAGTGATCTTTCTCCACTGAAGTCACTGTTCCCAAATGTTAATCTCCACCACAGGTTTCATAATGACTGTTCTCCAGCAACACAATTCAAGTGTTCTGTCGCCCTGGTTAAAATCACCTGAATATCCAGAAACCCAAAACTACAATTGTCCAATTATTACTACCCTTTCTGCATTCTTCCTCAAGATTCCTAAGCAGATGAATTCTAATTATTAAGGACAGCCCTGGAATTTGACACCAGAGAAGATTAGAGAGAGAGAAAAGATGGTGAGATTGTTCTGTCTGTGCATTTTTTTTTTGATGGGGTTAAAGCCTGCGTATCAGACCACAAAGTAATTAACAAAAACAAGGAGCTTGTGTCTCTGTGCACAAGAAATGTTCGAAAGCACCGTCAGATTATATCTATGTGCCGTAATGGAAAATGTCTTAAAAGATGTCCTGCATAAGATAAAGCATGTTATCTATCATATTATCTCAGTGGTGTGGTCCATATGTAATTAAAACCCGTGCAAAATATGACCTTCACTTCCAACACAGGAATTATGAATTACACAAAGCCATCCATCCATTTTCTAAACTGCTTAATCCAGTTCAGGGTCATGAGGGAACCGAAGCCCAACCCAAGAAGCAATGGGTGCAAGGCCATAATACACCCTGGACAGGACCCCAGTCCATCACAGTGAAAATAAAGCAAAATACAAGACATTTCTAAGATAAAATAGACAGGTAAAATATTACAAAATTCGTTCGGGTGGGTAGCTGCGTCAGCATGTGTAGGCTGCAAAGGAACGAGTAAAGGTTTATTCCATGCTGAAAAGAGAAGAAAAGAGACAACGATTTGGCTGTGGGGCCTTCTTCGGATGTCAAAACATTCGTTTCCTCAAAAATTGCTGTAGAAGTGTCTGAGTGTTACTCTGGGTGGTGTCAGAGTCAAAGGAAAAAGTGTTTTATTTCAGGCGAAATCCTTCGGGAATGATATTATAACGACAACACCTGTAAAGGAATAGGAGGTGGTTAGAAAGCCTGGTGTTGGAACAGATCGCTGTGAAGAAACGGAATGCTGGTTTAGGAAGAGAGGGGGGCAAGTAGCCCAGGGAGGAAGAGAAGGAGGAATGATGAAGAGATCTAGAAAAAGATTTAGCGGAAGGCATAGTGGGTCGCAGCAGAAGTAGTTCAAGTAGGGAGCTGTGTCAGCATGCGTAGGCTGCAAAGGAACAAGTAAAGGTTTATTCCATGCTGAAAAGAGAAGAAAGGAAACGCAACGTTTTGGCTCTGGAGCCTTCTTCGGATGTCGCACCTGAAGTTCACAGCCGAAGAAGGCTCCACAGCCAAAACGTTGCATTTCCTTTCTTCTCCTTTCAGCATGGACTAAACCTATCACACAATTCTGTGTATGGAAATGGCTGTTTTTTGTAGAATTTCACAATGGATTCAATGGGCTAGGATGACAAAGATGCTACAGTAACAACATTAATCTCTTTGACCAGAAATATCCTAATATTAATGAACAAGTAAAGGTTTATTCCCTACTGAAAAGAAACACAAAGTTTCAGCTGTGGAGCCTTCATCAGGTGTGAGAAAGAGAGGAAAGTCAACAGCTAATAAAACATGGGAGAACAAAAGCTGGGAGTGGAGAGGAGGCAGGAGCAGGGGGCGGGAGGCATAGTGGACACTCTGGTGGTGTGAAGTCAAAACCTGCAAATGAATGGAGAGGATCAGAAGGAAATGAGTCTGTTGTTGAGAGAAGGGGGAAGGTGTGATCCTAATTTCAGGATAATTTTGAGAGATCAGAATGATCAAGGCCTTTAGAGGTGAAATGAGAAACTATGGGCTTGGAGACATCTTTGATCCTTACAGCCATGACATTTTCTGTGAAAAGAGATGCAGTAAATCTCTTAACGTCAACCTACTCATGCAGACGCAGCTACCTACTTGAACTACTATCATAATGTGAAAAATGGGCTCACAAGACCCCTTTTCTAAAATTTCAAATTGGCTACTGTCATTTTCAAAAATAAATACAATTAGTTTTTAAAGAAACTAGATAAACCTGATTTCAAACATCTGGTCAGCTCTGCGGTAAGTATTTCCACATCTTCAAGTGTGACTGTGCACTACACTTACAGTAGTTAATATTGACAACTGAAATAACAGTATTAAGAAGATTTTCAATATTAGTTCACCACTCAAACCAGAAATCCATTATAGTAAGTGTCATTTCTGGTTATGTTCTGACACATGCACAATATTTTCCATCAATTAAAGCCAACATTAAGCATTACAAATGGCTCTCAATTGCTAAGCTGAAGGAAATTATGTATCCTACACTGCAAACTGAGAAAACTACACCGCAAAAAGCTAAATAACATCACAACTGACCCATTCAAAAAAAAAACTTAGAACAAACATTTGATGTAAAAACAGTATTTTGACTCTCATTACTAGCAGTATATAATGCTTT